AGATATGAGAAATGATATGAGAGATGAGAAATGAGATGAGATATGAGAGATGAGAAATGAGATATGAGATGATATGAGAAATAAGATGAGATATGAGATTAGAGATGAGATATGAGATGAGATATGAGAAATAAGATTAGAAATGAGATATGAGATATGAGATGATATGAGAGATGAGATATGAGAAATGAGATGAGATATGAGATATGATATGAGATATGAGATGAGAGGAGATATGAGAAATGAGATGAGATATGAGATATGATATGAGAAGTGAGATATGAGATGATATGAGAAATGAGATGAGATATGAGGTGAGAGGTGAGATGAGATATGAGATATGAGATGATATATGATATAAGAGATGAGATATGATATATGATAAAAAGATTCTTTTTTAGAGAGTAAATAGATTATTGGGTTAGGGCATCACCAACCTTATACTCTATTTTAATCTTTAAACATAGAGTTTTTAATTGGACAACCAACTCCAATCTAATTCTTTATTTACTCTCTAAAAAAAATATTCTTCTCTCTCCTCAATATTATTATTATTTCTATTTCATAATATAAATCATTCTTCTTCTTTTTTTCAAATAATCATTTTATATAATTTTCATGTGATATAATATTTTATCTTTTCAAATTCTTTATTTAATATAAAATTATATTTTATTTCAAAATTTTAAGTAACATAAATTGCAAGCAAATATTATATAATATACAAATTAATGGACAATTCAAATAAAAATGAAATCATTAATGAAATACAATTGCATAAAAATTACATAAATACTCAACTTTCAAGATTATTACGTTGCTCCCTTAAATGCTTTATTAGCATTACGGAGTTAAAAATAATCATTTTTGTTCTAGCTAAAAATTGTTCAAATCGGAGATTTCAAATTATATTAGTGACGAATTTTTTTTTTTAAAAAAATATATTGTTAATTCGGGACGAAAATAGTTTATATTAAATAATATATTTTTTAGAATATTATATTACATTTAATAAGAATTACGGATATTAAATATTTAATTAATGGGATTATATGTAAAATAATATGTTCATTGCAATTAATACCAAAAAATTAATACTCATATCTCGCCTTTGGAAATGCGGCCCAATTAATTCCAAAAAATTAAAATATTTAATTGCATATATAATTAATCAAAATCTCAATAGCAATAACATATTAAGAAATATTTCAATTCAACAACTAAAAATAGATAGTACTTACTTAGAACTTGAATGAGAAAAAAAAAAACAAAAGTCAAAACAGTGAGAGAAAAAAAAACAAAAGGTAGAAGTGACTCTGAAATCGAAGTAGAAGAAGATAAAGGAAACAGAGGAAGAAGAAAAGAAGAAGATAGAAGAAATGCGTATTGGTTGGACTTTGGAGTCGCCAAAAAAGTCTAGCTAGTAGCCTTAAGAGTCTAGTCGAAAATCCTAAAATTACATTTCAACTTTTAAAACCCTAAATTGGTCACCTTTTTAAAGAAAATACAAAAGGCGACACCTTTCTAGCCTCTCGCCTTTGTCGCCATGGCGTCGTCTTTTGAAGATCGCCTCGCCACAAAACTAAAAGGCAATGAACGGTTACCTTGCCTCGCCTCTCGCCATTGGCGACGAGGCAATCGCCTTTTAGAACACTGGAAGAATCTAATTAAACTAGTCTTTGAACAAGCATTATCCCAACATATAGAAAGATTTCAACAGCAGTAATTATATAAGGGTAACAATTCTTTACCCTTGTAAATGCATTTTTGATTGAAAATGTCATGTAGAACTCTACCTGCTCATTATCTGATATTGTTGCAAACTCCATTGCCTGCATAAACATCTAAGTCGTATAATACAATAATATTATTTGTAAGTGTCCATGTATGTGAATCCTATGGTTTATAGTGAATGCACAGACAGCATATATAACATATGATTTTTTTTACCAGAACTAACTTAAAATAGTTCACCAGAAAAGGTAGGTAGAAGAAGCCTTCGAACAAGCATAGCAACCCCTAATCCAAAAACATCAACTAGTTTTTAGATACAACTTTCCTGTACTGTTAACTTAAACGAAATAATATCCTAGATGGAATTAATGTCAACAGAAAAGGCAGAAAATTTGAAATATATTTTTGAAACAGAGAAAATTAGAAAATTTGTAATATTGGCAACCATTATTCATGGGAAGAGCAAATTTGGAAGTTAGTTTCTTAGTTTTAAATTGCTAAACAGAGGTCATAGTACAAGCTCTGAGTTGATCAGTGTCTGTATTAAGTTAAAACAAATGACTTATCATGCGCACAAGATTTGCAATCGCCTAATCAAAGTAAAACAGAATTGTGCACAAACTATGAAGTAGAGCATCTAAAGTCCAGCTTCAAGCTAATGAAACTAGCCAGAGGCCAGAGCCATGATTTTCCAATCAAACCAGTGCAGAGAAACACACCCTTTAGATTCAATAATAAAGCAAGTATGTTTCGCATCAGAGCAGGAGAAGAAGGGTGATAGATAACAAATCGTCTAGTTTCACGTAACTTATGCCAACAGCAGCTTAACAAGTTCAAGCAGAATATCGACTATGATGACAAGTTAAATTATACCTTCATTTGGATTCCTTTGTTTAAATGACAAGTGTTCTTTCTGATAGGGTAAAGTTTCAGTAAAAAAAAAATTGCCCCAAGACGACACTGTTGCCATTACAAGGCTCAGTACTTGTTTTATTTTTACATCACATTTTTAGAGTTCTTCAGATGATGAGTGTAAATTAATCCACTCATAATAAAAGTATTTCGGAAAGAAGTACTGAACTAAGCTAGAAACGTAATAAGTTAGAGAAGATATCTAAATTGAAAAGACAGCAGTTCTTATACAAAAGAAATTAGTCAGAATGGTATAATATACTAACTGCCCAAAATCCAATTGCCTGCCTATCCAGTACTTGTCAAATGTTGATTTTTGAAAGACTTTAGCAGCAAACATCATTCAAAATTATAGAACTTCGCTACTATCTTTTTCAATTTCTTGATTAAATTTCCCATTCAACGGGCCCTCTCAAATTTAACATATGATGTAAGGTGACACTATAAACACTCAGCAGGATCACCCCTCACAGGTAATACTATGAAGTAGAGCACCTAAAGTCCAGCTTCAAGCTAATGAAACTAGCCAGAGGCCAGAGCCATGATTTTCCAATCAAACCAGTGCAGAGAAATACACCCTTTAGATTCAATAATAAAGGGGCGAACGTGAAACATACGAGAGCAAATGATTAACAGCTTGAGATGTTATCATACATAAAAAGAGGGAAAGTAGAAGTTACTAACATGAAGGCTATTCTCAACAGCACACAAAGCGTTGATGTTGCCGCTACGTCAATTTCAACAGACTTCAAGACATCTGGTATCCTTGTATCCTTCAACTCCTTCTTTACAAATGCCTTAATTCCACTTTCCCTTGAGTATCTCGTCAAAATAGGCACAGGTGGAACAATATCTTCCTTATTAGCTGCATGCAAATGGTAGCAAGTTCACCATGAAATATATAGGTTCAATTTAGCAGCAAACAGTTCTGCAGAAACAAATGCAAGATATGCAAATAGCAAAAAAGATGAGCAGAGAAGTAGAAGAATACAAATAATTTACACGGTACAACTTTTCGTTGCCATAAAAAGAGAGCCACTAAATAAAAGTTTCAAAGCTATTTGAAAATTCAACATGCTAAATTCTGTCAATGGGAAACTGGGATGGCAATGAAGGGTTGTCAAATGGGTAAATTGGCAATTCATCCATATCATTTGCAAGAAAAGAGTGAAATTATAAAACTAGGCTATCCAATTATTGGTCACTCAGACAGAATATTTACAGTTCCAGTGGGAAGGATAACTTTGAAATTATGTTGTAAAGAGGTACCCCGCACTTCCTACGGTGAAAGGGTTTTGTATACTGCAGAAAACAGATTCTGATCTAATAGTTCCTTCATCCATTACATTGATGTCATTCATCAAACCATAGTGCAAGACACAAAATGAACCAGGAGACAATTAAGCTAATAAACTGCAACAACAGGCATGTAAAATTTCAGTATGAAGGATTCTTCACTGTGAGAAAAAAAAGGAAATCTTTAAGATTGTGCAGAAAGAAACTATATACCAATCTTATCTAAAACGGTCTTTGCATATACTTGAAATGCATTATCAATGCCGCGAAAGAGGCTACCCAGTTCTCCTGGCCTCATTGGAACTTCCAAAGCAAAGAACTGATCGACCGTTGGCAGTGAGAAAATTGTTCAACTCATTACAAAATGTGGTATCGTATAAAAGCATTTGTAAACCACTGTCGGCATAACAGAATCAACAATGATAGAAGCAGAATGTTCAAAATCTGAGCCACAATTTAAAGTTCACTTCCTCTTTCTATTTTATTTCCCACCCACCCCACACCCCATGGGTAGGGAACTGAAGCTTGTGAATCTTCAAGTGTATATGTTCCAAAAGCTAAGTATTTTTTCACTTAAGTTTCATGCACCAAAAGTAAAAGAAGCTAGGCTGCTATAGATAACATGGACAGGAAGAACACACAAACTTCATCTTGCAGCTGAGAGTAGTTTGTGATCAAACTTAGCTCTCAAGCACAAAAACCTAGAATTTAGATTTGGCTTTTTTTTAGTGTAGCATTATGATTTCATAGGTTACTAATTTAAAGTCCAGTTCTCCCGCTGTACATAAAACAAATCAATAAAGAAATAACTTCCCTTGTTGCTGACAAATTATCACAACTCTTCTTCCATATTACTGTAATTCCATTACGAAACACAATAAACTTATGCCGCGGAAACTGAATAAACTGATTCCAGAAAACAGAGAAAAATAACTATGCAAAAGAACAGAGTATGATTTGTGAACCTCTTCCACAATCCTGTAGACTTCAACAATGGAACTTCCATGCCTTTGTTGAGGTGAAACCGGTACCCACCGCTGGAAAACCATAAAAAGGTAATTAACTTCATATGCTAAAAGACTGGTCTTTGGTTAGAAGGAGGATTTCAATTTACTCTTATTATCATAACCGTGAATATTGAAACTAGGAGATGCCTCATTTAACTTTATAAAAAAGGAGATAGATAGAAAAATTTAAAATGATAAATGATTAATGACAAATGGCATAGGGAATAGAAGTATAATGACAAAGGAACAGCTAAATAATTGATATAATTGTTAAATGAACTACAATCTATAGATTTAGAAACTCCCTAAGTTATTACCTCCTGCTGAATATCCCGGTCAACCCAATTCAAAATCCTTGCAAGTTGTGAATTCACCCATCGTAGTACCAATGTCCCAGACACAGTCTCAATCTATACTTAAAACAAGAAAAGGCAAAGAAAAACACCAGATTCACTATGTAAAATATTGAGCATGACACATGGAAGCTTTCTTAGCAAAACCATCCCGCTACCAACCAATAAAAAGGTTCTGAGCAGTGAGAATGCCGAGGTCAGAAGACAATAAATCCAAGAAGCTTAATTTACTGGCAACACAATCTTTCACTTGGAACTGCCCCATATAAATTTGGCAAAATTATGTCACCCTAGTTACTCCATTATAAAAATAAATAAAGAAGCCCAGAAAGAGTTTCCTTAACTAGAGCAGTTATACGATACATCTGCATCAATGTTGTTAATAGCTTCCTAGTCATGTGCCAGCATCCTAAGCACAAAGTTACCATTAGTACAAATATAGAACCAGAGAAAAATATCAAAGTACTCTTACTCTCCCGGTCTTTTTTTTTTTTTTTGAAAATGGTAACCATTACTCTCCCTCCATCTTTTATTTCTCTGGTATAACCAGTACTATAGATATAGCACCTTAGAGCTAAAAAAAGAAGCAAATTACAACCTAATACTGCAAAAATGAAATGGTCACACTTATGATAGCAGAAGTTACAGGTCCACCATACACATATACACCTATAATAAGCATGCTTCCCAGTAGCAAATGACGACAATCCAAGCACAAGATCAGCAGCAGCATTGTTAAACTCTTGTTGTTGTGTGGAACTGAGAGACTGAGATTTGGATAAACTGGACAGCTCTTCAAATGGTTCAGTCAATTGATTCTGATGTGGAGAGTGTTGGCAAAATTGGTGATGGTGTGGAAATAGGGACAGGCGGGGGTAATCTTCTTGGAGGCAAACCCGATAGTTCAGGATTTGTAGCTAGAAAGAATTCATCATTTGAACCTGCATTACTCTTAATACAAAAAGGAAAGCGTTGAAGAATGAAAATAAACATTGATGTGCATAGAACACACTAAATAATGTTTTGGGATAGGAAAAATTGCTACACAACAACCCCATATGAAAATAATTCTAAGCTGCAATAGATAAGCCTCGGTAAATGGAACATTCACAAATAGTAAATATTGAACAGAAATCAATGTATTTGCAATCCCGAACAAGAACATTCATAAATAATGACCATTGAACATATAATAATGAATGTGCAAATCCGAATTTACCATATGAGGGAACAGATTGCTGTCAGATAGTTCAAGGAGTTCGCCTACCCAAAAAAAAAAAAATCAATCCTGACTTGATGATTGCAATCCATTTTAAAGCAATTATGTAGAGGCTATAGTTTATACTGGACATTCCCTACCTTTTCTTGCACAATTAAGGACAAAATCAACGAGTTGATCAAGATCCACATCAGCCAAGGAAACAGCTCCGGGAGGCATTACCACTTTCTTGATTAAGCTTCCTGAAAGAATGAAATTCAATAGTATCCGCCTATCTCTCTGAAATCTTTGTAGAAGCTCTGTAGAGTTCTCCCTGCAAACACAGACAACACATTCAATTGGAGCCACCCACCCACCCACTGACCACATTGTGTTTCAGTAAATTCTCTACCATCAAATCCCCTTAACATAGTAAGAATCTTTCACCCTAACTACTTAAGAACTTCAAGATTTACTTCAAACCAACTTCAAGATCTATCAGTCTTGTAAACTTAATCAAAACAAGGAAAGAACCCATAAGGTTTTAAAGATTACTTACTCTTCCCTGGCAACTTCACCATAAACCCCACCCCAGTTACTTAGCAACTCACACTTGCATTCACCAACTGGAAAAAAAAATGCAAGATTCTCGAAGTAAATACCAAAACTGAATGAAATTTGAACAAGTCAAGAGGGAATAATTCTTGGAAGTAAATACCAAAACAACAAAATCAATCCTGACTTGATGATCGCAAATGCAATCTATCTTAAAGCAAATAAGAAGAGGCTATATTTTGTGGTGGACATTCCCTACCTTTTCTTGCACAAATAATCAACGCTAACTTGATCAAGATCGACATCCTCCAAGGAAACAGCTCCGGGGGGCATTACCACCTTCTTGATTAAGCTTCCTGAAAGTATGAAATTCAATAGTATCCGCCTATCTCTCCGAAATCTTTGTAGAAGCTCTATAGAGTTCTCCCTGCAAACACAGACAACACATTCAATTGGAGCCACCCACCCACCCACATTGCGTTCCCGTAAATTCTCTACCATCAAATTTCCTTAACATATCAAGAATCTTTCACCTTAACTACTTAAGAACTTCAGATTTACTTCAAACCAACTTCAAGATCTATTAGTCTTGTACACTTAATCAAAACAAAGAAAGAACCCACTGGATTTTAAAGATTACTTACTCTTCCATTGCAACTTCAACGTAAACTCACTTGCTTAGCAACTCACACTTGTATTCACCAACTGAAAAAAAAAACCAAGATTCTTGAAATAAATACCAAAATTGATTGAAATTTGAACAAGTCAGGAGGGAATAATTCTTAGAAGTAAATACCAAAATTGAATGAGTCAAGAAAGAATGATTCTTAGAAGTAAATACCAAAATGGGTTAATAAGAAGATCAAAGGGTGTTCAAAACTGGAAAGATCTCTCGCTAATTCAATAAACTGAACTGAATCTCTGACTGAAGAAAGGGAGTTGGTGAATTCAGATTTGTATACAATTTCGCTTTCTTTTTTCTCTCTGAAATAAAATTTTTTGGAGGACGAGAGAGATTTTTTATTTATTTTTTATCTATGGGCTATGGCGTTTGAATTTATACAACCCAGATTACGGGCCGTGTAAATTTTACGCCATATCTTATTTTCTCACGCATAAATAGTTTTTTTTTTTTTTAATTTGGTAGAAACATAGATAACCAATAAGTAATAACTTTACTTACCGATAAAAAAATAAAAATAAAAACTTTACTTACCGATATAAATAAAATTTAGATAAATGAAAATAAATTATCTAATATTTAGAATTGATTAGAGAAAATTAGTACTCTCTCTGTTTCATTTTATGTGAGGTAGTTTGACTCGACACGCCGTTTAAGAAAATTTGTATTACTGTAAATCATTTCATTAGGGATGAAATAAACATTTTATAGTTAAATTGTTACTTAATATAAAAATATATCTTTTTTTTTTTTGATCGACTAAAAATGAAAATAAGTAACATGGACAGATGGAGTATTAGATTGGTTCTAAGTTCTAATAAATTATTATTAAAAAGAATTGCAAGTTTTTTTTCTTTTTTTTTTAATCCCAGATATCCTGCCGCCGCTACAACCTCTGTCATACAATAAGTAAATTCAAATAACTAAAGTTGTTAAAAAGTCTAAATATACATTTCATTCGTTCATTTTGCTAAAAATATTTGTTTAATTATATTTTTATTTTTTTTGTTTATTTATGTGCTTAGACTAAGAGTTAACACTAAATTTGAAATTCAAGTAATATTTTATTACTAGTTTAATTTTAAACATTGATCACAATTTAAATAAATTCATTCACTTGGATTTCTGACTTATCGTTCCCAATCTCTTACAAGCCTTTGGTTTTTTTTTTTTATATTCTTTAAAATTATTTTTTGGGAAGAAAACAGACCTCTACATAAATTATTTTAGGAAATCCGATCTAATTACATAAACATTTCTACCACATATGCTAATTCACTCTATTATTTGAAATAATAACATATTGTCCTCTTAATTAGTAGAGATAAGACACAAATACCCTCATAGATTATGACCGAAATTTTAGAGACACATATAAACTTAACTAGGGTGTTATTATCCCTATACTAATTTAAAATAGAATAAGCACACTCTCTTAAAGGCAATTGAAGATAACAAAAATAATTTTATAAGTAATTAATATGTACAAGTGTCATTTTTTAAATTGGGCATTACTTAATTAATTACATCCAATCAAATTATTAACTCCTACATCTTCTAAACCGATAATCCACTATTTCTCACCATATTAATATAAAGAAAAATAGCTCTTTTAGCAAAAAAAATTCAGTTAACACCATGGGATTCAGCTCCTCATAGTAAATCCTATCCATAAAGAACTATTGTTTTAATATACTAAATCCTCAACAACATAGAGAGTTAGCAAAATATGATAAAAAATCAACACTTTTTGATAGATTTGCTGCTAATAAAAATAGTGATAACAGTGATTGCAACAACAAAAGCTTAAAAGTTGATTTCACTTATTCTATTACACTTAATTGTGAGATTCTTATTTCCATCCAATGGAGTACACAACTGTGAAGGTGTTGTTAATTTTATCTAAAAGAATACTTTTAAAAATTCAAATCTCTATGCAACGTATTCTCCGGTTGTCTTCTCCAACGGTTCCCCGTCATCTTCTCCGGCGTCATCTCTGATCGTTAATTGGATTAAAAAATTTGGTAATTCAACACATTCTCACCATTTTTACTTTCCTCTGACTCAGATCTTCACTTATTCTTTCCTCGAATTTAGGATTTTCTCTTTTCAACTTCGATTTGTAACGATCTCCTTGCATGTTTTCTATTATTCGATCTGAGACGTTGATTTTTCTGTTCTTGGAGTCATTACAAAGTATTTGTTCTTGGTTGATAATCATTGAAATGATACTCAAAAATCAGTAAAAATAAATAATAATTAGTATTACGAAGAAAGAGAAAAAAACTTAATGCTTAAAGAAAAAGATGCAATGCGTGTTTAACCCTCTCATTTGGTTATCTATGTCACGTCAACATTTAAGGTATATTTATTCCATTTTAAATCAATTTAGGAGAGTAATATGACTCAAATTAAGTTTAGGTGTGTCTCAGGAAATTCGATCGTAGTCTAGGAGTACTTGTGCCTTATTCCTAATTAATAATATCATACTAGATTTTAATTCACATACACCTCTTCCTCTTCTCGTGCCCCCATCCCTCTCTCTCCCCCTCACTCGCTTTCCCTCTCTCCCATTTTGTGTTCTCCTAGATACACTCGTGAATGTATTTGTGCTTTTTTTAATACTAGATACATATATCTTTTGATACTAGATACGTGTGTTTATGCACATATACACTACATATTTGATATCAGATAAACTAATGCAATTAATATGGGATATGTGAGATGAAATTATATTCGATACACCAGATGAGATTGATTTTGGATATATATATATATATATA